CACAACTGTTGTAAGACTAATGAGTCTGTAATTACTGGGACACTTTTTTTATCACCTCCCTTGAAAAGAAGAGTAACGTTAGTTAACTTCCAATCCTCTGACACGTGTCCACTATTCAATGACTTATAAAAATAGCAACAAGTGGCTCACATATCCAATCCTTAATCTCCTTCAAAACCCTTGGGGAAATATTATCTGGCCCAGGAGACTTATCGTTCTTTAAACTTTCCATTTTTTTCTAAAAAGCTCAGAATATTAAAGTAGTCATATTGTCCGACCTTGTTTCCAACTATCAACTGTTCAAGATGAGGAATCTCCATTTGTAAAAACTGATGAAAAAAAAGCACAATTTAATAATCAAGCCAACTCATAATCACCTATACGAGCTTTCCTTTATTATCCCTCAAAAGTCCTACACTCTTCCTTACATTTTGTTTACCCTTATTGTATTTAAAGAAATCCTTACTATTAATTTTTACATTTTCAGCCAACTTTTTTTTCATACATCTTTTCTGAGGCCCTAATTTCCTGTTTGACCAGCTTTCTTGATATTCTATAATCATCTAAATCTCCTATCAAACCAGACAATTTAAACTTCTTAAGTTTGTGGAGCTTTTTATTTTACCCCTTTTCTTTCTATATGAAGTAATAATAGTTATATTTTCATCATTTTTTTTTTTTTTACTTTTATCAGTTTTATTCTTTTAAACCAGCATTTTTGCTACGTATTTCAATTCATAAATTGCATGGTTTAATACTAAGATTATACTTTTGAGAATATTGTAAAGTTAATTTGCCAGTATATGTTCTTATTGTTTTAAAAGAATTAATGTTATAAAAATAAAGGAAAAGAACTTTCAAATGTTTCAACACATTCAAAAGCAAATAATTTCATATAAAAATGAACCTTTAGAAAAGAGCTCTACATTTAAATCGTGACTTAATTCTGTTTTGTCGCTTAGTTAATAAGTGTGCAGATCTTTACTGACATCATCTGGTCTGTGCAAAAAAAAGTTTATTCATGATAAAAAAAAACGAAACTACTTTAGTTTGAGTTTTTAGTTTCTTTTAAACTATTGTAAAAGCTATTACATTTATTCCCAATAAATAAAATTTAAATTGATGCAATAGGAGAAAGAACTGTTATTTGCAAAACATTGAGCTTTGTTCAGTTGTGTAATTAAGATTTCAACAATTTATTCCCACGACTGATTATTTGGACTGATTACTTATCTTTCTTAAAACCTTAAAATATAAAACAGCTAAATAACTTTACAAAACTGTCATTGTCATAACGAATTTAAATTTAAACTCTTAAATAAGTGCCCCCATTGGCACAGCGGTATATCTGCGGACTTACAATGCTAGAAACCGGATTTCGATACCCGTGGTGGGCAGAGCACAGATAGCCCATTGTGTAGCGTTGTGCATAACTTCAAACAAACAATCTTAAATAAGCACGTGAGAAAAACTATTTAGTTAACCTGAGACTCGTTTTAAACTAAAGTAGTTAAACATGACCAAAGTAATTGAAAGGTAAACCAAAGAGATAACGTAGGTGTTCTAAAATATATTTGATGTTGATTATAGTAGATATATACTAGAAACATAAGGACAGTTTTGTTGTAAAATTGTGTGTATCTAAATATTAATCTGGTTTTTGTAATACAGGTTACGGTCACGTGACTCCACTGTCAAGAGGAGGGAAAGTTTTCTGTATCGTCTATGGGTTACTTGGTATTCCACTAACACTAATCTTGCTGACGGCTTACGTAGAACGCTTAATGATTCCCACAACGTGGTTTCTCCAATTCTTAAACTCCAAATTCGGGCATCTGTACCAATCGTTTAATATAAGGATGGTACACTTCGCTACTGTAGCAGTGAGTAGTACAATATTAGAATGTCTTTTAATAATAAGATATTGTATGTATATATTGTGATGGCAAGCAGTAGAGCATCCTTCTCTATTAAGGTGATACATTGGTCTCTTGTGGTGGGACATGGCGTGGCCTAATGATTACGGCTCCAGACTATTGATCAAAAGACCTAAGATTCGAGACGTGTTGCCGCTAAACACGTCCTGCATTTTCACTGTGGGTGCGCTCAAAAACTGACAGTCAATCTGTCTATTTGGCAAGAACCGGACAAGTACCTTCTAATAACGGGTGCTGTTGACTGACTACATTTCTCTGGTCAGTGGTACAAAATTTAGGAAGGCTATACTGACCACACTGTTTAGATGTGTTTCATAAGGCAACGTTCAGGTTGAAAATTCCAAATTAGGAATTTTTCTTTGTGGTATTATACGTTCGAACACTATTTATTATCGGGCTAAGCGTTGATTAATGGTTAGCGTGACGGAATGTGAATCTTAGGATCGATGGTTCGTTTTCCCTTGCCCCTCCAAATCACGCTCCATACTTTGGGGTCGTAAGTGCATTATAAGAGTGGCAGACAAGTCTCACTAACCAATTATGATTGCCCAAGAGACTGCGATGGGTGCTGTTAACGAGATGCCTTCTCTCTAGTTTCAAAAATGTTTTTAAAATTAGGGATAGCTATCATACATAGTCCTTGTGTAGCTTTCAAGTATCCAAAAACACTGTTTATCATAAAGGTGTATGTTGCACTATATATATTATAGCATCATCAGGTATTAGGTTATTGAACATGTCTGCTGTAATCCTGAGTAGTAGCACAACTGTTAACATTAGCATTATAAAGTAAAATTATTAATATTAACATGAAGACAGTGGATAGTAAATAGTATGCAATATTTAGATGTCGTTTCAATTTTTTGTTACATTAAGTAACATTAGTATTTTTTGGTGTGGTAAATAGAATGACGCCGTTTAAAATAAAGATCTTACATTAAGTAACATTATATTTTTTGGTGTGGTAAAGAGAATGACGCCGTTTAAAATAAAGATATAACATTAAACAACATTAGAATTTTTGGTGTGGTAAAGAGAATGACGCCGTTTAAAATAAAGATCTTACATTAAGTAACATTAGCATTGTTTGGTGTGGTAAAGAGAATGACGCCGTTTAAATAAAGATCTTACATTAAGTAACATTAGCATTGTTTGATGTGGTCAAGAGAATGACGCCGTTTAAAATAAAGATGTAACATTAAACAACATTAGAATTTTTGGTGTGGTAAACACAATGATGCCGTTTAAAATAAACATGTTACATTAACTAACATTGGTGTATTTTGGTGATGTATATTAGAACACAGTTTTATGTTAAGATGCAAAAAGTTTTGTTGTGGTTGTTAGTAGACCGCTGTTTAATCTTAAAAAATAACATACCTGTTAATATTGTAATGGTAAATTACCTATTTAAACTTTGATATTCAAATATTATTTTTGTCTGTTGGGCTGGCAAGTCATAAAATGCTGTTTAAAACTATTAAGATATTTCCCTCGTTTATTGTAGTGTTATGTACTAAAATCTTATGTATATTAAGACATCACTCTTGTTTGTTGTGTTTTTATATAATAAAACTTCATGTATATTAAGATATTTCTCTTGTTTGTTCTACTGTTATGCACTGAAACCTCATGTATATTAAGATATAACTTTTGTTGTTATGGTGTTATGTACTGGAACTCCATATAACATTAAGATGTTACATTTCTATATTTTGTTTTCTTCTCCAATGCCATTTAATCTCAAAATATTGTACTTGTTTTCAGCGGTATTAAGTAGTAGAATATCGTTTAATATTTAAATATTGAACATGTTTGTTGAGGTAGTAAGTAGTAGAAAATAGTTTAAAATGTTGCATCTGTTTTTTTCTGATGTTATGTATTGGAGCACCGCAGTTTTCTTGTTGTAGTGGTAAGTAGCAGAATACTGTTTATATTCAGAAGATTCACATTTATGTTGTGGTGGAATGTATTGGAACACTGTTTAATATTAAGATACTACATTTATTGACGTTGTTTGTTATTGCGATAATTTCTTTCCAAATTCAGATGTGGTGTTTGATTAAAGTTAAAGTAAACAGGAATACACAATGAACTTTTTTTTTCTTATGTAGGATAAGGTGTAGAAAAAAAAATCTTACTGTCTTGATGTTGCAGATCGCAGCATTTTATGTTCAGTTGCTACTGTTATCTGCTGTGGTGCTATGCACTGGAACACCTTTGGATATTTAATATGTTACGTTTGTTTTCGTTGGTTATAGCACACACTGAGTGGTCACAAGTAAATAGACACCTAATTTTTAGTCATTTAACTGGTTTATGCTAACTAATTTGTGTTCACAGAGCACTATATAAATGAAAATGGTCCGCACACTAATTATC